GCCTGGGTGTCCCTGTGTCCCCCTGTGTGCCCCTGGCTGTCCCCGTGTCCCCTGTGTGTCCCTGGGTGCCCCCCTGGGTGTCCCTGTGTCCCCCTGGGTGTCCCTGTGTCCCCCCTGTGTCCCATACCTGTCCTCCTCGGGGATGTGCAGGGCCATCATCTGCAGGGGCTCGGAGCACTCCCTGGGTGTCCCTGGGTGTCCCTGTGTCCCCTGTGTGTCCCTGGCTGTCCCTGTGTCCCCCTGGGTGTCCCCCCTGTGTCCCGTACCTGTCCTCCTCGGGGATGTGCAGGGCCATCATCTGCAGGGGCTCGGAGCACTCCCTGGGTGTCCCTGGGTGTCCCTGGGTGTCCCTGTGTCCCCCTGGCTGTCCCTGTGTCCCCCTGGGTGTCCCTGGGTCCCCCCTGTGTCCTGTACCTGTCCTCCTCGGGGATGTGCAGGGCCATCATCTGCAGGGGCTCCGAGCCCTCCCTGGCTGTCCCTGTGTGTCCCTGTGTCCCCCTGTGTGTCCCTGAGTGTCCCTGTGTCCCCTGGGTGTCCCTGTGTGTCCCTGTGTCCCTGTGTCCCCCTGGGTGTCCCTGGGTGTCCCTGTGTCCCCCTGTGTGTCCCTGTGTCCCCCTGGGTGTCCCTGTGTCCCCCCAGTGTCCCGTACCTGTCCTCCTCGGGGATGTGCAGGGCCATCATCTGCAGGGGCTCGGAGCACTCCCTGGGTGTCCCTGGGTGTCCCCCTGGGTGTCCCTGGGTGTCCCTGGGTGTCCCTGTGTCCCCCTGGGTGTCCCCAGCCCCCCCTGTGTCCCCCTGTGTCCCGTACCTGTCCTCCTCGGGGATGTGCAGGGCCATCATCTGCAGGGGCTCCGAGCCCTCCCTGGCTGTCCCTGTGTGTCCCTGTGTCCCCCTGTGTGTCCCTGAGTGTCCCTGTGTCCCCTGGGTGTCCCTGTGTGTCCCTGGATGTCCCTGTGTCCCCCTGGCTGTCCCTGGATGTCCCTGTGTCCCCCTGGCTGTCCCTGTGTGTCCCTGGGTGTCCCTGTGTCCCCTGGGTGTCCCTGTGTCCCCCCTGTGTCCCCCTGTGTCCCGTACCTGTCCTCCTCGGGGATGTGCAGGGCCATCATCTGCAGGGGCTCGGAGCACTCCCTGGGTGTCCCTGGCTGTCCCTGTGTCCCCCTGGCTGTCCCTGTGTGTCCCTGGCTGTCCCTGTGTCCCCTGGGTGTCCCTGTGTCCCCCTGTGTCCCCCTGTGTCCCATGCCTGTCCTCCTCGGGGATGTGCAGGGCCATCATCTGCAGGGGCTCGGAGCACTCCCTGGGTGTCCTGGCTGTGCCTGTGTCCCCCTGTGCCCCCCTGGCTGTCCCTGTGTCCCCTGTGTCCCCCTGTGTGTCCTGGGTGTCCCTGGCTGTCCCTGGGTGTCCCCAGACCCCCCTGTGTCCCCCTGGGTGTCCCTGTGTGCCCCTGGGTGTCCCTGTGTGTCCCTGTGTCCCCTGGGTGTCCCTGTGTCCCCCTGGCTGTCCCTGTGTCCCTGGGTGTCCCTGTGTCCCCCTGGGTGTCCCCCTGGGTGTCCCTGTGTCCCGTACCTGTCCTCCTCGGGGATGTGCAGGGCCATCATCTGCAGGGGCTCGGAGCACTCCCTGGGTGTCCCTGTGTCCCTGCTGTCCCCTGTGTGCCCCTGGCTGTCCCTGTGTGCCCCTGGGTGTCCCCCTGTGTCCCGTGCCTGTCCTCCTCGGGGATGTGCAGGGCCATCATCTGCAGGGGCTCGGAGCACTCCCTGGGTGTCCCTGGCTGTCCCTGGGTGTCCCTGTGTGTCCCTGTGTCCCTGTGTCCCCCTGGCTGTCCCCAGCCCCCCCTGTGTCCCCCTGGCTGTCCCTGGCTGTCCCTGTGTCCCGTACCTGTCCTCCTCGGGGATGTGCAGGGCCATCATCTGCAGGGGCTCAGAGCACTCCCTGGGTGTCCCTGGGTGTCCCTGTGTCCCCCTGGGTGTCCCTGTGCCCCCTGGGTGTCCCTGGGTGTCCCCTGGGTGTCCCCCTGTGTCCCCCTGGCTGTCCCTGTGTCCCTGAGTCCCCCTGTGTCCCGTACCTGTCCTCCTCGGGGATGTGCAGGGCCATCATCTGCAGGGGCTCGGAGCACTCCCTGGGTGTCCCTGGGTGTCCCCAGACCCCCCTGTGTCCCCCTGTGTGTCCCTGGGTGTCCCTGTGTCCCCCTGGCTGTCCCCCTGGGTGTCCCTGGCTGTCCCTGTGTCCCCCTGTGTCCCATACCTGTCCTCCTCGGGGATGTGCAGGGCCATCATCTGCAGGGGCTCGGAGCACTCCTTGGGTGTCCCTGTGTCCCCCGGGGTGTCCCTGTGTGTCCCTGTGTCTCCCTGGGTGTCCCTGTGTCCCCCTGTGTCCCCCTGGGTGTCCCTGTGTCCCCCTGGGTGTCCCTGTGTCCCCCTGGGTGTCCCCCTGGGTGTCCCTGTGTCCCCCCTGTGTCCCGTACCTGTCCTCCTCGGGGATGTGCAGGGCCATCATCTGCAGGGGCTCGGAGCACTCCCTGGGTGTCCCTGTGTGTCCCTGGGTCCCCCTGGGTGTCCCTGTGTCCCCCTGGGTGTCCCTGTGTCCCCCAGGCCCCCCTGTGTCCCCCTGTGTCCCGTACCTGTCCTCCTCGGGGATGTGCAGGGCCATCATCTGCAGGGGCTCGGAGCACTCCCTGGCTGTCCCTGTGTCCCCTGTGTGTCCCTGGGTGTCCCTGTGTCCCCCTGGGTGTCCCTGTGTCCCCCTGGCTGTCCCTGTGTCCCGTACCTGTCCTCCTCGGGGATGTGCAGGGCCATCATCTGCAGGGGCTCGGAGCACTCCCTGGGTGTCCCTGTGTGCCCTGGGTGTCCCCTGGGTGTCCCTGTGTCTCCCTGGCTGTCCCTGTGTGTCCCTGGGTGTCCCTGTGTGCCCCTGGGTGTCCCTGTGTCCCCCTGTGTCCCCCCTGTGTCCCCCTGTGTCCCCCTGTGTCCCGTACCTGTCCTCCTCGGGGATGTGCAGGGCCATCATCTGCAGGGGCTCGGAGCACTCCCTGGGTGCCCTGGGTGTCCCTGTGTCCCCCTGGGTGTCCCCAGGCCCCCCTGGGTGTCCCTGTGTCCCCCTGGGTGTCCCCCTGTGTCCCCCCTGTGTCCCATACCTGTCCTCCTCGGGGATGTGCAGGGCCATCATCTGCAGGGGCTCGGAGCACTCCTTGGCTGTCCCTGTGTCCCCTGGGTGTCCCTGTGTCCCCTGGGTGTCCCCCTGTGTCCCCCTGTGTCCCCTGTGTCCCGTACCTGTCCTCCTCGGGGATGTGCAGGGCCATCATCTGCAGGGGCTCGGAGCACTCCCTGTGTCCCCCTGGGTGTCCCTGTGTCCCCCTGTGTCCCTGGGTGTCCCTGTGTCCCCCCTGTGTCCCCTGTGTGTCCCTGTGTCCCCCTGTGTCCCCTGGGTGTCCCTGTGTCCCCTGGGTGTCCCTGTGTGTCCCTGTGTCCCCCTGTGTGTCCCTGTGTCCCCCTGGGTGTCCCCAGACCCCCCTGTGTCCCCCTGTGTCCCGTACCTGTCCTCCTCGGGGATGTGCAGGGCCATCATCTGCAGGGGCTCGGAGCACTCGACGGCCCAGCCCTGGCGCTCGCCCAGCCGGGCGGTCTCCACGCCCAGGTACTGGGTGGGCATCCGGCTCCAGGTGACGGGGGTCAGGTGCTGGATCACCAGCCGGGGGGGGCACTGGGGGGCCGGGTTCTGCCTCTCGCTGCTGAACATGGCGGCCGAGATGGGCATGATGTTCTGGGGGGGGCACGGGGAGGGGGAGTGAGGCTGAGACCCCAGAAACCCCAGAGACCCCCATGGGATCGTGCGGCTCAGTGGTTCCTCCATTGACCACCGGGACCCCAGAGACCCCCAGGGGATCATAGAGCTTGTGGTTCACCCCACTGACCACCGGGACCCCAGAGACCCCCAGAGACCCCCATGGGATCGTACGGCTCGTGATTCACCCCACTGACCACCGGGACCCCCCAGAGACCCCCAGAGACCCCCATGGGATCATACGGCTCGTGATTCACCGGACCCCAGAGACCACCAGGACCCCCCAGAGACCCCCAGAGACCCCCAGGGGATCATACGGTTCGTGGTTCACCCCATTGACCACCGGGACCCCCAGAGACCCCAAAGCCCCCATGAGACCTCCATGCGGCTCGTGATTCACTTCACTGACCACCGGGACCCCCAGAGACCCCAAACCTCCCCAGAGACCCCCACAGACCCCAAACCTCCCCCAGAGACCCCCAGCACCCCATGTGGCTCGTGGTTCACCCCATTGACCAGCCCGGGAACCCCCACAGACCCCAAAGCCTCCCCCAGAGACCCCCAGAGACCCCCATGGGATCATACGGCTCATGGTTCACCCCATTGACCACGAGGACCCCCCAGAGACCCCAAACGCTCCCCAGAGACCCCCACAGACCTCAAGCCTCCCCAGAGACCCCCAGCACCCCCTCACGTGGCTCGTGGCTCACCCCATTGACCACTGGGACCCCCAGAGACCCCAAAGCTCCCCCAGAGACCCCCAGCACCCCCAGGGCTCCAGATCCTCCTTGGTCCATCCTGCAGACCCCCCAGACCCCCCTGCAGACCCTCCACCAGCTCCCCAGTGCCCCCCAGTGCCCCCCCCAGCCGAGGGGTGGGTGGGGGTCTCCCCCCCTGACCTTGAGCTTGCCCAGCTCGAACTGCAGCACATTTTGGGTGGTGGGCAGCACGAACACGGCCGGGAACAGCTTCGTGTTGGGCTCCACCTGGGGGGGCACAGGGACGGCTGAGACCCCCCTGGGGAGGGGCAGAGACCCCCAGAGCCCAACAGGGACGGCTGAGACCCCCCTGGGGAGGGGCAGGGACCCCCCAGAGCTCACCAGGGATGGCTGAGACCCCCCTGGGGAGGGGCAGGGACCCCCAGAGCCCACCAGGTGGAGGGGCAGGGACCCCCCAGGGGAGGGGCAGGGACCCCCAGAGCCCACCAGGGAGGGGCAGGGACCCCTCAGAGAGTCACCCGGGAGGGGCAGGGCAGGCCCCAGGGAGGTCAGGGGGATGTTGAGGGAAGGACCCCCACGGGTGGATCAGGGGGATGTTGTCGGGTCAGGGACCCCCAGGGGGTGGTCAGGGGGGATGTTGTGGGGCAGGGCCCCCCTATCACCCCCTGGGGTGGATCAGGGTGGATGTTGAGGGGCAGGGACCCCCCCAGGGGTGGATCAGGGGGGATGTTGTGGGTCAGGGACCCCCCATCACCCCTGGGGGGGGTCAGGGGGGATGTTGTGGGTCAGGGCCCCCCCCAGGGTGGATCAGGGGGGATGTTGTGGGTCAGGGACCCCCCATCACCCCAGGGGTGGATCAGGGGGGATGTTGTGGGTCAGGGACCCCCCAGGGAGGATCAGGGGGGATGTTGTGGGGCAGGGACCCCCCCGGGGAGGGGCAGGGACCCCCCAGAGCTCACTGGGGAAGGGGCAGGGACCATCCTGCAGACCCCAAGAGCCCCCAGAGCTCAGTGGGGAGGGGCAGGGACCACCCAGGGAGGTGGACAGGGGGGGATGTTGTGGGGCAGGGACCCCCAGGGGTGGATCAGGGGGGATGTTGTGGGGCAGGGACCCCCCCGGGGAGGGACAGGGACCCCCCAGAGCTCACTGGGGAAGGGGCAGGGCCCCTCCATTGCCCTCAGGGGTGGATCAGGGGGGATGTTGTGGGGCAGGGACCCCCCAGAGCTCACTGGGGAAGGGTCAGGGCCCCCCCATCACCCCCGGGGTGGATCAGGGGGGATGTTGTGGGTCAGGGCCCCCCCGGGGTGGATCAGGGTGGATGTTGTGGGTCAGGGCCCCCACGGGGGGGGTTCAGGGGGGATGTTGTGGGTCAGGGCCCCCCCATCACCCCTGTGGGGGGGTGGGTCAGGGTGTGGCTGATGGGTGGGTGGTCTCACCTGGAAGAAGGTGTTGATCTCCTTGCCGTTGGCGGTGAAGGTCATGAGCCCCGTGGCCAGGTCCACCAGGCAGCCGATGACGAGGTCGCTGTGGGTCACCCGGGCCTGCTGCTGGGGGGCTGCAAACTCCCCCCCCCACACCATGTAACAGTCACTGCGCTTGATGCTGGGGTGGGGGGTAAAAAAAAGAGGGGTAAAAAAGGGGGGTGAGACCCCCAGTGATCACCCACCCCCCCAAACCATGTAACAGTCACTGCGCTTGATGCTGGGGGGGAAAAAATGGGGTGAGACCCCCAGTGACCACCCCCCAAACACACACACAGCCTGGAACATCCCCCATTTCGGGTGGGGGTGGGGGTCCTGTTTTAGGGTCCCATTTTGGGGTCCCATTTTGGGAGTCCCCTTTCAGGGTCCTGTTTTGGGGGTCCCGTTTTGAGGGTTCCATTTCAAGGAGGTCCCATTTTGGGCTCCCATTTTAGGGTCCCATTTCGGGGTCCTGTTTTGGGGTCCCATTTTGGGCTCCCATTTTAGGGTCCCATTTTGAGGTCCCGTTTTGGGGTCCCATTTTGGGCCCCCTTTTCAGGTTCCCATTTTGGGGGCTCCCATTTCAGGTTCCCATTTTGGGGTCCCATTTTGGGGTCCCATTTTGGAGTCCTGTTTTGGGATCCCGTTTTGGGGGCTCCCATTTCAGGCTTCCATTTTGGGGGTTCCCATTTCAGGCTCCCATTTTAGGGTCCCATTTCAGGGGCTCCCCTTTTGGGGGGTCCTCCCCTTTTGGGCTCCCATTTCAGGCTCCCATTTTTGGGCTCCCATTTGGGGGCTCCCATTTCGAGTTCCCATTTGAGGTTCCCATTTCAGGCTCCCCTTTTGGGGTCTCCCATTTCAGGCTCCCATTTTTGGCTCCCATTTCAGGCTTCCATTTGGGGGTTCCCATTTCAGGCTCCCCTTTTGGGCTCCCCTTTTGGGCTCCCCTTTTGGGGGCTCCCATTTCAGGCTCCCATTTCAGGTTCCCATTTTGGGGGGTCCCCTTTTGGGGACTCCCATTTCTGGCTCCCATTTCTGGCTCCCATTTCAAGCCCCCCTTTTGGGGTCTCCCATTTCTGGCTCCCATTTCAGGTTCCCATTTCAGACTCTCCCCTTTCGGGGTCCCCCATTTCAGGGTGTCCCCCCCCGTGGGGGGTCCCCACCCCTTTTGAGGGGGGTGTCACCTGTCGTGCACGTTGCCCCTGTCGTCCCCCATGGTGACGGTGACGCTGCGGACGCGCGACAGCTCGAACTCGGGGTCGTGCTGGTGGAAGTGGGGGGTGACCCAGCCCACCCAGGCGCTGCCCGGCTCCTGCCCCGCAAACAGCCGCACCGAGTAGTAGTACTGGGGACAGGGGACACATTGGGGGGTCACTGGGGGGGTCACTGGGGGGTCATTGGGGTGACAGGGGTGTCACAGAGTGTCCCAGGGGTGACCCAGCCCACCCAGGCGCTGCCCGGCTCCTGCCCCGCAAACAGCCGCACCGAGTAGTAGTACTGGGGACAGGGGACATGGGGGGGTCACAGGGGGGGTCACTGGGGGTGACAGGGGGTGACAGGGGTGTTAGGGTGGTCACAGGAGGTGACAGGGGGGTGACAGGGGGTCCCAGGGGTGACCCAGCCCACCCAGGCGCTGCCCGGCTCCTGCCCTGCAAACAGCCGCACCGAGTAGTAGGACTGGGGACAGGGGACACATTGGGGGGGTCACTGGGGGTCACTGGGGGTGACAGGGGGTCATTGGGGGACATGGGGGTACACAGGGGTCCCAGGGGTGACCCAGCCCACCCAGGCGCTGCCCGGCTCCTGCCCCATAAACAGCCGCACCGAGGAGTAGTACTGGGGACAGGGGACATGGGGGGTCACTGGGGGGTCACTGGGGTCACTGGGGGTCCCAGGGGTGACAGGGGGTCCCAGGGGTGACCCAGCCCACCCAGGCGCTGCCCGGCTCCTGCCCGCAAGCAGCCGCACCGAGTAGTAGTACTGGGGACAGGGGACATGGGGGGGTCACTGGGGGTCACTGGGGTGACAGGAGGTGACAGGGGAGTCACTGGGGACATGGGGTGTCACAGGGGTGACAGGGGGGTCACAGGGGGGTCCCAGGGGTGACCCAGCCCACCCAGGCGCTGCCTGGCTCCTGCCCCGCAAACAGCCACATGGAGTAGTAGTACTGGGGACAGGGGACATGGGGGGTCACTGGGGGGTCACATGGGTGACAGGGGTCACTGGGGGTGACAGGGGTGTCCAGGGGTCCCAGGGGTGACCCAGCCCACCCAGGCGCTGCCCGGCTCCTGCCCCGCAAACAGCCACACCCGAGGAGTAGTACTGGGGACAGGGGACACGGGGGTCACTGGGGGTCATTGGGGTCACTGGGGTCCCAGGGGTGACAGGAGGTGACAGGGGAGTCACAGGGGTGACAGGAGGTGACAGGGGGTCCCAGGGTGACCCAGCCCGCAGGCGCTGCCCGGCTCCTGCCCCGCAAACAGCCGCACCGAGTAGTAGTACTGGGGACAGGGGACATGGGGGGTCACTGGGGGGGTCACAGGGGGTGACAGGGGGTCATTGGGGACATGGGGGGTCACAGGGGACATGGGGAGTCACAGGGGGTCCCAGGGGTGACCCAGCCCACCCAGGCGCTGCCCGGCTCCTGCCCATGCAAACAGCCGCACCGAGTAGTAGTACTGGGGACAGGGGACACAGTGGGGGGTCACTGGGGGAGTGACAGGGGGTGACAGGGGGTGACAGGGGGTCACAGGGGGTGACAGGAGGTGACAGGGGGTCCCAGGGTGACCCAGCCCACCCAGGCGCTGCCCGGCTCCTGCCCCGCAAACAGCCGCACCGAGTAGTAGTACTGGGGACAGGGGACACGGGGGGTCACTGGGGAGGTCACTGGGGACATGGGGGTCACAGGAGGGTGACAGGGGGGTCACAGGAGTGTCCCAGGGGTGACCCAGCCCACCCAGGCGCTGCCCGGCTCCTGCCCCGCAAACAGCCGCACCGAGGAGTAGTACTGGGGACAGGGGACACATTGGGGGTCACTGGGGGGTCACTGGGGTCACTGGGGACCTGGGGGTCACAGAGTGTCCAGGGTGACCCAGCCCACCCAGGCGCCGCCCGGCTCCTGCCCACAAACAGCCGCACCGAGTAGTAATACTGGGGACAGGGGACATGGGGGGTCACTGGGGGTCACTGGGGACATGGGGGTCACTGGGGTGACAGGGGGTGACAGGGGTCCCAGGGGTGACAGGAGGTCACAGGGGGTCCCAGGGGTGACCCAGCCCACCCAGGCGCTGCCCGGCTCCTGCCCCGCAAACAGCCGCACCGAGTAGTAGTACTGGGGACAGGGGACACATTGGGGGGGTCACTGGGGGGTCACAGGGGTGACAGGAGGGTCACAGATGTCATGGGGGGTCACAGAGTGTCCCAGGGGTGACCCAGCCCACCCAGGTGCTGCCCCACAGACAGACACCCCCAGGAGTAGGACTGGGGACAGGGGACAAGGGGGGTCACTGGGGGGTGACAGGGGTGTTAGGGTGGTCACAGATGTCATGGGGGGACACAGGGGATGTTTTGGGGTGCAGGGGGGATATTTTGGGGTGCAGGGGGGGAGTCTGGGTGTGCAGGTTGCCCCCCATACCGTGGTGGTGTTCATGATGACCTCGGGGTCGTCCCTGTCGTCCGGGACCACCTCCTCCTCCAGCCGGGGCACGGGGGAGGCGCGAGGGGCGAGAACGGCGCCTTCCGCCCCTTGAACAGGAACCTGGGGGGGCACCGGGGGGGTCACCCCGTCCTGGGGGTCACCCCCTTCTCGGGGACCCCCCCTGGGATGGGGGTCACCCCGTCCTGGGGGCATTTGGGGATGGGGGACCCCCGGGTAACCCCTCCCAGTAACCCCCCGAGACCCCAGGGATGGGGGCTCACCCCAGTCTGGGGACCCTCTGGGATCAGAGACCCCCCCAAGGATGGATGTCCCCTCATTTTGGGGACCTTCTGGGATCAGAGACCCCCAGGGATGGATGTCACCCCATTTTGGGGACCCTCTGGGATCAGAGAGCCCCCCAGGGTTGGGTGCCACCTCATTTTGGGGACCCTCTTGGATCAGAGAGCCCCCCCAGGGTTGGGTGTCACCTCATTTTGGGGACCCTCTGGGATCAGAGAGCCCCCCAGGAACAGCCCAGGGATGGGGTTCACCCCATTTTGGGGACCCTCTGGGATCAGAGACCCCCAAGGGCTGGGGTTCACCCCATTCTGGAGACTCTCTTGGATCAGAGACCCCCCAAGGGATGGATGCTCACCCCATTTTTGGGACCCTCTCGGATCAGAGACCCCCCCAGGGTTGGGTGTCACCCCATTTTTGGGACCCTCTGGGATCAGAGCCCCCCCCTAAGGGCCAGGTATCACCCCATTTTTGGGACCCTCTGGGATCACAGCCCCCCCAAGGGACAGGTATCACCCCATTTTTGGGACCCTCTGGGATCAGAGCCCCCCCAAGGGACAGGTATCACCCCATTTTTGGCACCCTCTTCCCCCAGTTCCCCCCCTCTCCCCTTTCACTCACCCCCTCCTGGCCTTGCCCTTCTCGGTGCCGCCGTCCTTGTCCTTCTCCTTGTCCCTGTCCCTGTCCTTGTCCCCCTCTCCCCGGGGCTGCTCCCGGTTGTTTCCCGCGGGGGGGGATCCCCCCTTTTCGGGGGTCTCGTCCCCCTCCTGCCCTCGGGGCGCGGCCGAGCGGCGCAGGCGCTCGAACTCGGACAGGGGCTCGGCCGCCGCCTCCTCAGGGGGCTCCGGGGGGCGCCTGGGGCAGGGGTGGTCCCGGGGGTGCAGCGGAACGTGGGGTGGAACTGCACGGGCAGGCTCAGCCGCAGGAACAGCAGCTCGGGGGGGGCCCCGGGGGCGCTGGGGGGGCGCTGGCCCAGCCGCAGGCACGGCAGGAGTGTCCACTGTGCCATCCAGACGGGTCACCTGGGGGGAGATTTGGGGGGATTTAGGGGATGGGAGACCCCCAGGGGTGCTGGGGACACCCTTTGGGGACACCCCGGGGGCGCTGGGGGGGCGCTGGCCCAGCCGCAGGCACAGGGGGTGTCCACGGTGCCGTCCAGACGGGTCACCTGGGGGGACAAAGGGGGTGAGGGGCTGGGACACCCCCAGGGGTGCTGGGGACACCCTTTGGGGACACCCCGGGGGCGCTGGCCCAGCCGCAGGCACGGCGGGGTGTCCACGGTGCCGTCCAGACGGGTCACCTGGGGGGGATAAAGAGGAGATTGAGGGGCTGGGATACCCTTTGGGAACAGGGAATCCCCTTTGGGGACACCCCGGGGGCGCTGGGGGGGCGCTGGCCCAGCCGCAGGCACGGGGGGGTGTCCACTGTGCCGTCCAGACGGGTCACCTGGGGGGGACAAAGAGGGTCTGAGGGGCTGGGACACCCCCAGGGGTGCTGGGGACACCCTTTGGGGACACCCCGGGGGCGCTGGGGGGGCGCTGGCCCAGCCGCAGGCACGGCGGGGTGTCCACTGTGCCGTCCAGACGGGTCACCTGGGGGGGATAAAGGGGGGATTTAGGGACAGAGATCCCACTTTGGGGACACCCTGGGGGCGCTGGCCTCGCAGGCACAGGCAGCGCCGTCCAACGGGTCACATGAGGGACACAGGGATTTAGGACAGGACACCCCAGGGGTGCTGGGGGCACTAGCCCAGCCGCAGAGCACGGCAGGGTGTCCACGGTACCAGATCCAGACAGGTAGCTGGGGGAGACCCTGAGGAGACTGGCTACTCGGCCAGGGTGTCCACGGGGCCCCGGCAGGCGGAGCACCTGGGGGGCTAAAGGGGACCTAGGGACAAGGACACCCCCAGGAGTGCTGGGGACACCCTTTGGGGACACCCCGGGGGCGCTGGCCCAGCCGCAGGCACGGGGGGGTGTCCACGGTGCCGTCCAGAGGGGTCACCTGGGGGGAGATTGGGGGGGATTGAGGGGCTGGGACACCCTGGAGGCACTGGAAACCCCCTTTGGGGACACCCTGGGGACAGAGAACCCCCTTTGGGGACACCCTGAGGCTGTGGCTGAACCAGAGGGCGATGGGACCCCTCAGGGGGACCCCCAAAGTGCCCCTCACCTCGAGCTGGGGGTGCTGGGGGGGCACTGGCACGAACTGGGGGAGGCTGTGGCTGAACCAGAGGGCGATGGGGACCCTCAGGGGGACCCCAAAGTGCCCCTCACCTCGAGCTGGGGGTGCTGGGGGGCACTGGGACGAACTGGGGGAGGCTGTGGCTGAACCAGAGCGCGATGGGACCCCCAAACTGCCCCTCACCTCGAGCTGGGGGTGCTGGGGGGGCACTGGCACGAACTGGGGGAGGCTGTGGCTGAACCAGAGGGCGATGGGACCCCTAGGGACCCCCAAAGTGCCCCTCACCTCGAGCTGGGGGTGCTGGGGGGGCACTGGCACGAACTGGGGGAGGCTGTGGCTGAACCAGAGGGTGATGGGACCCTCAGGGACCCCCAAACTGCCCCCCAGGGACCCCCCCTGTGCCACTCACCTCGAGCTGGGGGTGCTGGGGGGGCACTGGCACGAACTGGGGGAGGCTGTGGTTGAACCAGAGGGCGATGGGGACCCCCAGGGACCCCCAAAGTGCCCCTCACCTCGAGCTGGGGGTGCTGGGGGGGCACTGGCACGAACTGGGGGAGGCTGTGGCTGAACCAGAGGGCGATGGGGACCCCTCAGGGGGACCCCAAATTCCCTGTCAGCCCCTCACCTCGAGCTGGGGGTGCTGGGGGGGCACTGGGACGAACTGGGGGAGGCTGTGGCTGAACCAGAGGGCGATAGGGACCCCCAGGAACCTCAGCCCCTCACCTCGAGCTGGGGGTGCTGGGGGCACTGGGCACGAACTGGGAGGCTGTGGCTGAACCAGAGGGCGATGGGGACCCCCCAAAGTGCCCCTCACCTCGAGCTGGGGGTGCTGGGGGGGCACTGGCACGAACTGGGGGAGGCTGTGGCTGAACCAGAGGGCGATGGGGCGTTTCATGTTGATGGCAAAGGGCTCGTAGCCCTCCTGGAGGCCGCAGATGCCGAAGTAGCGCAGGGTGCCCACGTCCTGGCCCAGGTTCAGGTGCCCCTCCTGGCCCAGGCCCAGGCTGCACACGGGCACAAACCCTGGGGAGGGGGCAGCACAGGGGGGGGGTCAGCACAGGGGGGCTGTCCTGGAGCCCCCAGAGCCGCCCCCGAGCCCCCAGAGCCGTTTTTGGGGGGTCCCCAAGGAGCAGATGGGGGTGCTTTCTGTGTCACCCCCTCTGCTTCCCCAGCTCCAACCCGACCCCTTGGGGAGGGGGTCTCAGCCCCCTGACCCCCAGTCCGGCCCCACCCAGACAGGTGCCCCCCACCAGTCCCATGTGGGACCCCTCCCCACCCTCCCCACCTCACCTGGACCACTCCCCACCTTCCCCAGCTCACCTGGGACCCTCCCCAGCTCACCTGGGCCCCACCTCAGCTCACCTGGACCCTCCTCCAATTCACCTGGACCCCCTCCCCACCTTCCCCACCTCACCTGGACCCCTCCCCAACTCACCTGGACCCCTCCTCAGCTCACCTGGACCCCCTCCTCAACTCACCTGGACCCCCTCCCTACCCTCCCCAACCCACCTGGACCCCTCCCCACCTTCCCCAACTCATCTGGACCCCTCCCACCCTCCCACCTCACCTGGACCCCTCCCCCACCTCACCTGGACCCCTCCCCAACTCACCTGGACCCCTCCCCACCCTACCTGGATCCCTCCCCACCTCACCTGGACCCCCTCCCCAACTCACCTGACCCCCTCCCCACCTCCCTGGACCCCTCCCACCCCACCTGGACCCCTCCCCACCCCCAAGCTCCAACCCCTCCCTCCTGCCCCAGCCCCGGGTGGGACCAGGGGTGTTCCCAACACCAGGGGTGTTCCCAGCACCAGGGGGAGTCCCAGCTCCCAATTTCCCCCAGCCCCCAATTTCCCCCAGCCCCTCCTCACCGTCTGCCACCTCGAAGTCCCTGAAGGCGACCTCGGAGCCGCCGTCCCCGATGAGAACCTCCCCGTTGAGGGTGAAGCTCATGTGGCACTCGCCCAGGTCGATCAGGCAGCCCACCACGTCCCCTGCCTGCCAGGGGCGCCCAAAGGACTCCCCCCCGACGTGCCAGCGCTGGGCCTGGGGGGCACAGAGGGACAGGGGGGTCATGGGGGGACCCTGGAACCCCTGGAACCCACCCAGGGGTCACAGGGGTCATGGGGTACCCTGGAACCCACCCAGGGGCACAGGGGTCATGGGGGGACCCTCAAACCCACCCAGGGGTCACAGGACCCACCACGTCCCCCACCTGCCAGGGACGCCCAAAGGACTCCCCCCCAACGTGCCAGCGCTGGGCCTGGGGGGCACAGAGGGGCAGGGGGGTCATGGGGGGTCACAGAAACCACCCAGGGGTCACAGGGGTCATGGGGTGACCCTGGAACCCACCCAGGGGTCACAGAACCCACCCAGGGGTCACAGGACCCACCACGTCCCCTGCCTGCCAGGGGCGCCCAAAGGACTCCCCCCCGACGTGCCAGCGCTGGGCCTGGGGGGCACAGAGGGACAGGGGGGTCATGGGGGGACCCTGGAACCCACCCAGGGGTCATGGGGTGACCCTGGAACCCACCCAGGGGTCACAGGACCCACCCAGGGGTCACAGGACCCACCCAGGGGTCACAGGGGTCATGGGGGAACCCTGGAACCCCTGGAACCCACCCAGGGGTCACAGGACCCACCACGTCCCCAGCCTGCCAGGGGCGCCAAGGACTCCCCGACGTGCCAGCGCTGGGCCTGGGGGCACAGAGGGACAGGGGGTCACAGGAGTCACAGGACCCACCCAGGGTCACAGGACCCACCACGTCCCCTGCCTGCCAGGGACGCCAAAGGACTCCCCCCCGACGTGCCAGCGCTGGGCCTGGGGGGCACAGAGGGACAGGGGGGTCATGGGGGGACCCTGGAACCCACCCAGGGGTCACAGGGGTCATGGGGGGACCCTGGAACCCCTGGAACCCACCCAGGGGCACAGGGGTCATGGGGGGACCCTGGAACCACCAGGTCACAGGACCCACCCAGGGGTCACAGGACCCACCACGTCCCCAGCCTGCCAGGGGCGCCCAAAGGACTCCCCCCGACGTGCCAGCGCTGGGCCTGGGGGGCACAGGGGGGTCACAGGGGCACAGGGGGGTCACAGGACCCACCCAGGGGTCACAGGGGTCATGAGGGGGACCCTGGAACCCACCCAGGGGTCACAGGACCCACCCAGGGGGTCACAGGACCCACCACGTCCCCAGCCTGCCAGGGCGCGCCAAAGGACTCCCCGACGTGCCAGCGCTGGGCCTGGGGGCACAGAGGACAGGGGGTCATGGGGGACCCTGGAACCCACCCAGGGGTCACAGGGGTCATGGGGGGACCCTGGAACCCCTGGAACCCACCCAGGGGTCACAGGACCCACCCAGGGGTCACAGGGGTCATGGGGTACCCTGGAACCCACCCAGGGGTCACAGAACCCACCCAGGGGTCACAGGGGTCATGGAGGGACCCTGGAACCCACCCAGGGGTCATGGGGGGACCCTGGAACCCACCCAGGGGTCACAGGACCCACCACGTCCCCTGCCTGCCAGGGACGCCCAAAGGACTCCCCCCCGACGTGCCAGCGCTGGGCCTGGGGGGCACAGAGGGACAGGGGGGTCATGGGGGGGTCACAGGACCCACCCAGGGGTCACAGGGGTCATGGGGTGACCCTGGAACCCCTGGAACCCACCCAGGGGTCACAGGACCCACCACGTCCCCAGCCTGCCAGGGGCGCCCAAAGGACTCCCCGACGTGCCAGCGCTGGGCCTGGGGGGCACAGAGGGACAGGGGGGTCATGGGGGGACCCTGGAACCCCTGGAACCCACCCAGGGGCACAGGGGTCATGGGGGGACCCTCAAACCCACCCAGGGGTCACAGAGGTCATGGGGGGACCCTGGAACCCACCCAGGGGTCATGGGTGACCTGGAACCCTGGAACCCACCCAGGGGTCCCGGGGGTGTCCCTGAGGGTCCCAGGGTGTCCCTGTGTGTCCCAATGGGCTCTGGGTGCCCCAGGGTGTCCCTGGGGGTCCCTGGGTGTCCCAGTGGGCTCTGGGTGCCCCAGGGTGTCCCTGGTGGTCCCCGGGTGTCCCAATGGACTCTGGGGGTCCCAGGGTGTCCCTGGGGGTCCCAATGGGTTTGGGGGTCCCAGGGTGTTCCTGGGTGTCCCAGGGTGTCCCTGGTGATCCCAATGGACTCTGGGGGTCCCAGGGTGTCCCTGTGGGTCCCTGGGTGTCCCAATGGGCTCTGGGGGTCCTGGTGTGTCCCAGGGTGTCCCTGTGGGTCCCTGGGTGTCCCAGTGGTCTCTGGGTGCCCCCGTGTGTGCCGGGGGTCCCTGGGCCTGGGGGTCCCTGTGGTGTCCCAGTGGGCTCTGGGTGCCCCAGGGTGCCCCTGTGTGTGCCGGGGGGTCCCTGGCTGTGCCAGGGGTCTCTGTGGGTCCCAGTGGGCTCTGGGTGCCCCGGGGTGTCCCTGGGGGTCTCTGTGGGTCCCAGTGGGCTCTGGGTGCCCCGGGGTGCCCCTGTGTGTCCCGGTGGGTCCCTGGCTGTGCCCGGGGTGTCTCTGTGGGTCCCAATGGGCTCTGGGTGCCCCGGGGTGTCCCTGGGGGTCCCAGGGTGTCCCGGGGTCCCTGGGTGTCCCAATGGTCCCTGGGTGTCCCAGTGGGTCTCTGTGGTGCCCCTGGTGTGTGCCCGGGGTGTCCCTGGCTGTGCCCGGGGGTCTCTGTGGGTCCCAGTGATCTCTGGGTGCCCCGGGGTGCCCCCGTGTGTGCCGGGGGTCCCTGGCTGTGCCCGGGGGTCTCTGTGGGTCCCAGTGGTCTCTGGGTGCCCCGGGGTGTCCCTGTGGGTCCCTGGGTCCCTGGGTGTCCCAATGGGCTCTGGGTGCCCCGGGGTGTCCCTGGGGGTCCCTGGGTGTCCCAATGGACTCTGGGGGTCCCTGTGGTCTCTGGGTGCCCCAGGGTGTCCCTGGGGGTCCCTGGGTGTCCCAATGGGCCCTGGGTGTCCCAGTGGGCTCTGGGTGCCCCGGGGTGTCCCTGGGGGTCCCTGGTGATCCCAGTGGACTCTGGGGGTCCCAGGGTGTCCCTGGGGGTCCCAGTGGGCTCTGGGTGCCCCGAGGTGTCCCTGTGGGTCCCTGGTGATCCCAATGGTCCCTGGGTGTCCCAGTGGTCTCTGGGGGTCCCAGGGTGTCCCTGGGTGTCCCAGGGTGTCCCTGGTGATCCCAATGGGCTCTGGGGGTCCCAGGGTGTCCCTGGGGGTCCCTGGTGATCCCAATGGACCCTGGGTGTCCCAGTGGTCTCTGGGTGCCCCCGTGTGTGCCGGGGGTCCCTGGCTGTGCCCGGGGGTCTCTGTGGGTCCCAGTGGGCTCTGGGTGCCCCGGGGTGCCCCTGTGGGTCCCAGGGTGTCCCAGGGGGTCCCTGGCTGTGCCAGGGGTCTCTGTGGGTCCCAGTGGGCTCTGGGTGCCCCGGGGTGTCCCTGGGGGTCTCTGTGGGTCCCAGTGATCTCTGGGTGCCCCCATGTGTGCCGGGGGTCCCTGGTTGTGCCCGGGGGTCTCTGTGGGTCCCAGTGGGCTCTGGGTGCCCCGGGGTGTCCCCGTGTGTGCCGGGGGTCCCTGGCTGTGCCCGGGGGTCTCTGTGGGTCCCACTGATCTCTGGGTGCCCCGGGGTGTCCCTGGGGGTCTCTGTGGGTCCCACTGATCTCTGGGTGCCCCGGGGTGTCCCTGGGGGTCTCTGTGGGTCCCACTGATCTCTGGGTGCCCCCGTGTGTGCCGGGGGTCCCTGGCTGTGCCCGGGGGTCTCTGTGGGTCCCATTGATCTCTGGGTGCCCCGGGGTGCCCCCCTGTGTGCCGGGGGTCCCTGGCTGTGCCCGGGGGTCTCTGTGGGTCCCAGTGATCTCTGGGTGCCCTGGGGTGTCCCTGGGGGTCCCTCAGGGTCCCAGTGGTCTCTGGGTGCCCCGAGGTGCCCCCCTGTGTGCCGGGGGTCCCTGGCTGTGCCCGGGGGTCTCTGTGGGTCCCAGTGGTCTCTGGGTGCCCCGGGGTGTCCCTGGGGGTCTCTGTGGGTCCCAGTGGTCTCTGGGTGCCCCGGGGTGTCCCTGGGGGTCTCTGTGGGTACCAGTGATCTCTGGGTGCCCCCCTGTGTGCCGGGGGTCCCTGGCTGTGCCCGGGGGTCTCTGTGGGTCCCACTGATCTCTGGGTGCCCCGGGGTGTCCCTGTGGGTCCCTGGGGTCCCAGTGATCTCTGGGTGCCCCGGGGTGTCCCTGGGGGTCTCTGTGGGTCCCAGTGATCTCTGGGTGCCCTGGGGTGTCCCTGGGGGTCTCTGTGGGTCCCAGTGGGCTCTGGGTGCCCCCCTGTGTGCCGGGGGGTCCCTGGTGATCCAAATGGACCCTGGGTGTCCCAGTGGTGTCCAAGTGGGTCCCAGTGGTCTCTGGGTGCCCCAGGGTGTCCCTGGGGGTCCCTGGTGATCCCAATGGGTCCTGTGGGTCCCAGTGGTCTCTGGGTGCCCCGGGGTGTGCCGGGGGTCCCTGGCTGTGCCCGGGGGTCTCTGTGGGTCCCAGTGGGCTCTGGGTGCCCCGGGGTGTCCCTGGGTGTCCCTGGGTGTCCCTGGGGGTCCCTGGGTGTCCAAATGGACCCTGGGTGTCCCAGTGGTCTCTGGGTGCCCCGGGGTGTGCCGGGGGTCCCTGGCTGTGCCCGGGGGTCTCTGTGGGTCCCAGTGGTCTCTGGGTGCCCCGGGGTGTCCCTGGGGGTCTCTGTGGGTCCCAGTGGTCTCTGGGTGCCCCCCTGTGTGCCGGGGGTCCCTGGCTGTGCCCGGGGGTCTCACCCTGTGCCCGTTGAAGACGAAGGCCATGTCGTCGGCGCCCAGCTCGGTGTCGGGGCGCAGCCCGGGCCGTGCCCACCCCACGCGCATCTCCCCGGGGGTCACGGCCTCGAACTCGAAGTACCACTTCCCACTGCGCACGGCGGAGCCACGCTCGGCTCGGAACAGGCGAGGCCGGGGGGCACGGGGACCCCCCGAGGGCACCCCCTGGGCAGCTGGGGGGAGATGGGGGGGTTAAAAATCCATAACACCTCCTGGACACCCCAAAAACAGCCCCGCTCGGCTCGGAACAGGCGAGGCCGGGGGGTACGGGGACCCCCCGAGGGCACCCCCTGGGCAGCTGGGGGGAGATGGGGGGGTTAAAAATCTGTAATACCCCATAACACCCCAAAATCAGCCCCGCTCGGCTCGGAACAGGCGAGGACGGGGGGCACGGGGACCCCCCGACGGCACCCCCTGGGCAGCTGGGGGGAGATGGGGGGGTTAATAATCCATAACACCCCATAACACCCTCATAACATCCCAAAATCAGCCCCGCTCGGCTCGGAACAGGCGAGGACGGGGGGCACAGGGACCCCCTGAGGGCACCCCCTGGGCAGCTGGGGGGAGATGGGGGGGTTAAAAATCTGTAATACCCCATAATATCCCCATAACATCCCAAAAACAGCCCCCATAACATCCCAAAATCAGCCCCACTCGGCTCGGAACAGGCGAGGCCGGGGGGCACAGGGACCCCCCGAGGGCACCCCCTGGGCAGCTGGGGGGAGATGGGGGGGTTAACAATCCATAACACCCCAAAAACAGCCCCCTGTACCCCCCACAGGCACCCCCTGGGCAGCTGGGGTGAAAAGGGGGGTTAACATCCCAAATCAGCCCCCATAACACCCCAAAATCAGCCCCGCTCCGCTCGGAACAGCCTCGGGCAGGGGGCACGGGGACCCCCCAAGGGCACCCCCTGGGCAGCTGGGGGGAAAAGGGGGGGTTAACAATCCATAACACCCCCATAACACCCCAAAATCAGCCCCCATAACATCCCAAAATCAGCCCCGCTCGGCTCGGAACAGGCGAGGCCGGGGGGCACGGGGACCCCCCGAGGGCACCCCCTGGGCAGCTGGGGGGAGATGGGGAAGTTAAAAATCTGTAATACCCCAAAAACAGCCCCCTGCACCCCCCACAGGCACCCCCTGGGCAACTGGGGGGAGATGGGGGGGTTAAAAATCTGTAATACCCCATAAACAGCCCCCATAACATCCCAAAATCAGCCCCGCTCAGCTCAGAACAGCCTCGGGCGGGGGGCACGGGGACCCCCTGAGGGCACCCCCTGGGCAGCTGGGGGGAGATGGGGGGGTCAACACTGCCCTGAAGGCCTCCCAGAGTTCTCCTGAGCCCCCCCCGAGCCCCCCCAAGCCCCCCACTCACGGGTGTCCTGGTCGGGGGGCTCGATGTTGTAGCCGTAGCCCAGCAGGGTCCGCACGGCCTGGCAGAGGCTCTCGCGGTTCGTGGCCTTGGTGCCCTCGTCCAGCAGGTTGTAGGGCACCAGCCGGGGGTTCCGCTTGTTCTTGATGTCCTGGGGACAGGGGACAGTGGGGACAGGGTGTGGGGACACCCCCAGGGCTGTGGGGACACAGGCACCAGCCGGGGGTTCCGCTTGTTCTTGATGTCCTGGGGACAGGGGACACCGTCACTGAGGGGTGGGGACACCCCTGGGGCTGTGGGGACACCCCCAGGGCTGTGGGGACACCCTCGGGGCTGTGGGGACACAGGCACCAAACGGGGGTTCTGCTTGTTCTTGATGTCCTGGGGACAGGGGACAGTGGGGACAGGGTGTGGGGACACCCCTGGGGCTGTGGGGACAGCAGGGACAGCCTGTGGGGACACCCCCAGGGCTGTGGGGACACCCCTGGGGCTGTGGGGACACAGGTACCAAACAGGGGTTCCGCTTGTTCTTGATGTCCTGGGGACAGGGGACAGTGGGGACAGGGTGTGGGGACACCCCTGGGGCTGTGGGGACACCCCCGGGGCTGTGGGGACACCCCCAGGGTTGTGGGGACACCCTCAGGGCTGTGGGGACACAGGCACCAGCTGGGGGTTGTGCTTGTTCTTGATGTCCTGGGGACAGGGGACAGTGGGGACAGGGTGTGGGGACACCCCTGGGGCTGTGGGGACAGCAGGGACAGCCTGTGGGGACACCCCCGGGGCTGTGGGGACACCCCTGGGGCTGTGGGGACACAGGCACCAAACAGGGGTTGTGCTTGTTCTTGATGTCCTGGGGACAGGGGACACCGTCACTGGGGTGTGGGGACACCCCTGGGGCTGTGGGGACACCCCCAGGGCTGTGGGGGCACCCCCAGGGCTGTGGGGACACCCCCAGGGCTGTGGGGACAGCAGGGACAGCCTGTGGGGACACAGGCACCAAACAGGGGTTCCGCTTGTTCTTGATGTCCTGGGGACAGGGGACACCGTCACTGAGGGGTGGGGACACCCCTGGGGCTGTGGGGACACCCCTGGGGCTGTGGGGACACCCCCAGGGCTGTGGGGACACCCCCAGGGCTGTGGGGACACCCCTGGGGCTGTGGGGACACCCCTGGGGCTGTGGGGACACAGGCACCAAACAGGGGTTGTGCTTGTTCTTGATGTCCTGGGGACAGGGGACACCGTCACTGAGGGGTGGGGACACTCCTGGGGCTGTGGGGACACCCCCAGGGCTGTGGGGGCACCCCCAGGGCTGTGGGGACACAGGCACCAAACGGGGGTTCCGCTTGTTCTTGATGTCCTGGGGACATGGGGACAGTGGGGACAGGGTGTGGGGATGTGGGGACACCGTCACTGAGGGGTGGAGACACCCCTGGGGCTGTGGGGACACCCCCAGGGCTGTGGGGACACCCCTGGTGCTGTGGGGTCACAGGCACCAAACAGGGGTCCTGCTTGTTCTTGATGTCCTGGGGACAGGGGACAGTGGGGACAGGGTGTGGGGACACCCCTGGGGCTGTGGGGACACCCCCAAGGCTGTGGGGACACCCCTGGGGCTGTGGAGACACCGTCATTGGGGTGTGGGGACACTGTCACTGGGGTGTGGGGACACCCTGGGGCTGTGGGGACAGGAGGGACAGCCTGTGGGGACACAGGCACCAAACGGGGGTTCCGCTTGTTCTTGATGTCCTGGGGACAGGGGACAGTGGGGACAGGGTGTGGGGACATGGGGACACCGTCACAGGGGTGTGGGGACACCCCTGGGGCTGTGGGGACACCCCTGGGGCTGTGGGGACAGCAGGGACAGCCTGTGGGGTCTCAGGGGTGGGTGGGGGTCCCTGGGGGGTTTTGGGGTCCCCACCTGGGTGGTGCTGTAGGTCCAGCCCTGCTGCACCCGGTCCTGCTGTGCCCGCTTGTGCCCCTTTTGGGGGTCAGGGTGGGGTCCCCGGGGTCTTGGGGTCTCAGGGGTGGGTGGGGGTCTCTGGAGGGTTTTGGGGTCTCAGGGGTGGGTGGGGGTCCCCTGGAGGGGTTTTGGGGGTCCCCACCTGTGTGGTGCTGTAGGTCCAGCCCTGCTGCACGCGGTCCCGGGCCCAGACATTGTGATGGTTGGGGGGTCAGGGTGGGTCAGGGTAGGTCAGGGTTGGGTTTTGGGGTCTCAGGGGTGGGTGGGGGTCCCTGGAGGGGTTTTGGGGTCCCCACCTGGGTGGTGCTGTAGGTCCAGCCCTGCTGCACGCGGTCCCGGGCCCAGACGTTGTGATGGTTGGGGGGTCAGGGTGGGTCAGGGTTGGGTTTGGGGGTCTCAGGGGTGGGTGGGGGTCTCAGGGGTGGGTGGGGGTCTCAGGGGGTCCCCACCTGGGTGGTGCTGTAGGTCCAGCCCTGCTGCACGCGGTCCCGGGCCCAGACATTGTGATGGTTGGGGGGGTCAGGGTTGGTCAGGGTGGGTCAGGGTGGGGGTCCCCGGGGTTTTGGGGTCTCAGGGGTGGGTGGGGGTCCCTGGGGGTCCCCACCTGTGTGGTGCTGTAGGTCCAGCCCTGCTGCACGCGGTCCCGGGCCCAGACGTTGTGATGGTTGGGGGGTCAGGGTGGGTCAGGGTTGGGTCTGGGGATCAGGGTTGGGTCTGGGGATCAGGGTTGGGTCAGGGTGGGTGGGGTCCCTGGAAGGGTTTTTGGGGTCCCCACCTGGGTGGTGCTGTAGGTCCAGCCCTGCTGCACGCGGTCCCGGGCCCAGACGTTGTGATGGTTGGGGGGTCAGGGTGGGTCAGGGGGTCAGGGTGGGTCAGGGGCTGGGTCTGGGGGTCTCAGGGGTGGGTGGGGGTCCCTGGGGGTCCCCACCTGGGTGGTGCTGTAGGTCCAGCCCTGCTGCACGCGGTCCCGGGCCCAGACGTTGTGATGGTTGGGGGTCAGGGTGGGTCAGGTGGGTCAGGGTTGGGTCAGGGTGGGGGTCCCTGAGGTCAGGGGTGGGTGGGGGTCCCTGGGGGGTTTTGGGGGTCCCCACCTGGGTGGTGCTGTAGGTCCAGCCCTGCTGCACGCGGTCCCGGGCCCAGACGTTGTGATGGTTGGGGGTCAGGGTGGGTCAGGGTTGGTCAGGGTGGGTCAGGGTGGGTCAGGGTGGGGGTCCCTGAGGTCAGGGGTGGGTGGGGGTCCTGGAGGGTTTTGGGGGTCCCCACCTGGGTGGTGCTGTAGGTCCAGCCCTGCTGCACGCGGTCCCGGGCCCAGACGTTGTGATGGTTGGGGGGTCAGGGTGGGTCAGGGTTGGGTCAGGGCTGGGTCTGGGGTCTCAGGGGGTGGCGTGGGGTCTCAGGGGTGGGTGGGGGTCCCTGGAGGGTTTTGGGGGTCCCCACCTGGGTGGTGCTGTAGGTCCAGCCCTGCTGCACGCGGTCCCGGGCCCAGACGTTGTGATGGTTGGGGGTCAGGTGGGTCAGGGTTGGTCAGGTGGGTCAGGGTGGGTCAGGGTGGGGTCCCTGAGGTCAGGGGTGGGTGGGGGTCCCTGGAGGGGTTTTGGGGTCCCCACCTGTGTGGTGCTGTAGGTCCAGCCCTGCTGCACGCGGTCCCGGGCCCAGACGTTGTGATGGTTGGGGGTCAGGGTGGGTCAGGGTTGGGTCAGGGCTGGGTCTGGGGGTCCCAGGGGTGGGTTGGGGTCTCAGGGGTGGGTGGGGGTCCCTGGAGGGGTTTTGGGGTCCCCACCTGTGTGGTGCTGTAGGTCCAGCCCTGCTGCACGCGGTCCCGGGCCCAGACGTTGTGATGGTTGGGGTCAGGGTCAGGGCTAGGTGGGTCAGGGTGGGGTCCCTGAGGTCAGGGGTGGGTGGGGGTCTCAGGGTGGGGGGGTTCTTGGGGGTCCCCACCTGTGTGGTGCTGTAGGTCCAGCCCTGCTGCACGCGGTCCCGGGCCCAGACGTTGTGATGGTTGGGGGTCAGGGTGGGTCAGGGTTGGGTCAGGGCTGGGTCTAGGGGTCAGGGCTGGGTCTGGGGGTCTCAGGGGTGGGTGGGGGTCCCTGGGGGTTTTGGGGTCCCCACCTGTGTGGTGCTGTAGGTCCAGCCCTGCTGCACGCGGTCCCGGGCCCAGACGTTGTGATGGCTGTAGGTGGGTCAGGGGTGGGTCAGGGTCTGGGTTCAGGGTGGGTCTCAGGGGTGGGGTCTGGGTCAGGGGTGGGTGGGGGTCCCTGGGGGTTTGGGGGTCCCCACCTGTGTGGTGCTGTAGGTCCAGCCCTGCTGCACGCGGTCCCGGGCCCAGACGTTGTGATGGTTGGGGGTCAGGGTTGGGTCAGGGTGGGTCTGGGTCAGGGTTGGGTCAGGGTGGGTCAGGGCTGGGTCTGGGGTCTCAGGGGTGGGTGGGGGTCCCTGGGGTGGTCCCCACCTGGTGGTGCTGTAGGTCCAGCCCTGCTGCACGCGGTCCCGGGCCCAGACGTTGTGATGGTTGGGGGTCAGGGTGGGTCAGGGTGGGTCAGGGTTGGGTCAGGGGGCTGGGGGTCCCTGGGGTCTCAGGGGTGGGTGGGGGTCCCTGGGGGTTTTGGGGGTCCCCACCTGGGTGGTGCTGTAGGTCCAGCCCTGCTGCACGCGGTCCCGGGCCCAGACGTTGTGATGGTTGGGGGTCAGGGTGGGTCAGGGTGGGTCAGGGTGGGGTCCTGGGGTCAGGGGGTCCTGGGGGTCAGGGTGGGGGGTCCCTGGGGGGTTTGGGGTCCCCACCTGTGTGGTGCTGTAGGTCCAGCCCTGCTGCACGCGGTCCCGGGCCCAGACGTTGTGATGGTTGGGGGTCAGGGTGGGTCAGGGTTGGTCAGGGCTGGGTCAGGGTTGGTTCTGGGGGTCAGGGTTGGGTCTGGGGTGGGTGGGGGTCCCTGGGGGGTTTTTGGGGTCCCCACCTGGGTGGTGCTGTAGGTCCAGCCCTGCTGCACGCGGTCCCGGGCCCAGACGTTGTGATGGTTGGGGGTCAGGGTTGGGTCAGGGTGGGTCAGGGTGGGGTCCCTGGGGTTTGGGGTCTCAGGGGTGGGTGGGGGTCTCAGGGGTGGGTGGGGGTCCCTGGGGGTCCCCACCTGGGTGGTGCTGTAGGTCCAGCCCTGCTGCACGCGGTCCCGGGCCCAGACGTTGTGATGGTTGGGGGTCAGGGTTGGGTCAGGGTGGGTCAGGGTTGGGTTCTGGGGGTCTCAGGGGTGGGTGGAGGTCTCAGGGGTGGGTGGGGTCTCAGGGGGTCCCCACCTGGGTGGTGCTGTAGGTCCAGCCCTGCTGCACGCGGTCCTGGGCCCAGACGTTGTGATGGTTGGGGGTCAGGGTGGGTCAGGGTTGGGTCTGGGATGGGTGGGGGTCTCTGGGAGGGGTTTTGGGGTCTCAGGGTGGGTGGGGTCCTCGGGGGTCCCCACCTGTGTGGTGCTGTAGGTCCAGCCCTGCTGCACGCGGTCCCGGGCCCAGACGTTGCGATGGTTGGGGGTCAGGGTGGGTCAGGGGCTGGTCAGGCTGGTCAGGGTGGGGGTCCCTGAGGTCAGGGGTGGGTGGGGGTCCCTGGGGTCCCTGGGGGTCCCCACCTGGGTGGTGCTGTAGGTCCAGCCCTGCTGCACGCGGTCCCGGGCCCAGACGTTGTGATGGTTGGGGAGGGTCAGGGTGGGTCAGGGTGGGTCAGGGTTGGGTCAGGGATGGGTGGGGGTCCCTGGAGGGGGTTTTGGGGGTCCCCACCTGTGTGGTGCTGTAGGTCCAGCCCTGCTGCACGCGGTCCCGGGCCCAGACGTTGTGATGGTTGGGGGTCAGGGTGGGTCAGGGTGGGGTCCCTGAGGTCAGGGTTGGGTCAGGGGTCAGGTTGGGTCAGGGATGGGTGGGGGTCCTGGAGGGTTTTGGGGTCCCCACCTGTGTGGTGCTGTAGGTCCAGCCCTGCTGCACGCGGTCCCGGGCCCAGACGTTGTGCCCGTTCTCGGCCAGGCGATCGACCAGCGTCAGCTGTGCCGGTGTCAGGCGCACGTGGGACAGGTCCAGGGGGGCGGGTTTGTACCCGTTGGACATGGTGTACCTGGGGAGGGGGGACACCTGTGGGACCCCCAGAGCCTCCCCAGGCACTCCTGGGGTGACCCAACTCAAACTGGGGCGGCCCAACCCAATTGGGACAGCCCAATCCCAAACTGGGACATCCCAATCCCAACTGGGACATCCCAATCCAATCCAGGACATCCCAACCCAATCCAGGACATCCCAACCCCAAATGGGACATCCCAATCCCAAATGGGACATCCCAACCCCAAATAGGACAACTCAACCCCAAACTGGGGCAGCCCAACCCAAACTGGGACATCCCAACCCAAACTGGGACATCCCAATCCAATCCAGGACATCCCAACCCAAACTGGGACATCCCAACCCAAACTGGGACATCCCAACCCAAACTGGGACATCCCAACCTCAAATGGGACATCCTAACCCAAACTGGGACATCCCAATCCAATCCAGGACATCCCAACCCAAACTGGGACATCCCAACCCCAACTGGGACATCCTAACCCAAATTGGGACATCCCAACCCAAACTGGGACATCCCAATCCAATCCAGGACATCCCAACCCAAACTGGGACATCCCAACCCCAACTGGGACATCCCAATCCAATCCAGGACATCCCAATCCAATCCAGGACATCCCAACCCAAACTGGGACAGCCCAACCCAAACTGGGACATCCCAATCCAATCCAGGACATCCCAATCCAAACTGGGACATCCCAACCCAATACAGGACATCCCAACCCCAAATGGGACATCCCAAACCCAAACTGGGACATCCCAACCCAAACTGGGACCCTCCTTTAGAGATCACAAAGTTGGACCCCCCCAACTGGGACTCCCCTTTTAGAGACCCCAAACTGGGACCCCCTTAAGAGACCCCAAAGATGGACCCCCCAACAGGGACTCCCCTTTTAGAGACCCCAAACTGGGACCCCAAAACTGGGACCCCCCTTTTAGAGACCCTAAACTGGACCCCCCTTAAGAGACCCAAAACTGGGACCCCCCCCTTTTAGAGACCCCAAACTGGGACCCCCTTTTAGAGACCCCAAACTGGGACCCCCTTAAGAGACCCCAAACTGGGACCCCCAAACTGGGACCCTCCTCCTTCCAGCCCCCCCGAACTGGGACCCTCCCACACCCCAAACAAGGTCCCCATAAATTGGACCCCCAAAACCAGCAAGACCCCCCCAAAAGTGGGACCAACCCCCTTGCAGCCCCCAGACCCCAAAGGGTCCCCCAGACCCCAAAGGGTCCCCCAGACCACAAAGGGTCCCCCAAACCCCAAAGGGTCCCCCCAAACCCACGTTTTGGGGAGTTTGATCTTCTTGAGGTTCTCCTCGGCCTTCTCGTCCGCCATCCCCACGTGGCAGCCCAGGGCCAGCAGCGTCCTGGGGCACCCCAAAAATCAACACCCCTCAAAACCTGCACCCCCAAAAATCAGCACCCCAAAAATCAACCCCCAAAAATCAGTACCCCAAAAATCAGCACTCCCAAAAATCAGCACCCCAAAAATCAGCCCCCAAAAATCTGCACCCCCAAAAATCAGCACCCCAAAAATCAGCACCCCAAAATCAGCACCCCCAAAATCAGCACCCCAAAAATCTGCACCCCAAAAATCAGCACCCCAAAAATCAGCAGCCCCAAAAATCAGCACCCCCAAAAATCTGCACCCCAAAAATCAGCACCCCAAAAATACTCCCCAAAAATCAGCCCCCAAAATCTGCACCCCAAAAATCAGCACCCCAAAAATCAGCACCCCCAAAAATCTAGCACCCCACAAAATCTGCACCCCAAAAATCAGCACCCCCAAAATCAGCACCCCAAAAATCAGCCCCCCAAAAATCAGCACCCCAAAAATCTGCACCCCCAAAATCAGCACCCCCAAAAATCAGCACCCCCAAAAATCAGCACCCCAAAATCAGCACCTTCAAAATCTGCACCCTAAAAATCTGCCAAAAATTCACCTCCCAAAAATTCACCCCCAAAATCAGCACCCCCAAAAGTCAGCACCCCCAAAAATCTGCACCCCAAAAATCAGCACCCCAAAATCAGCACCTCCCAAAATCAGCCCCCAAAAATCAACACCCCCAAAAAAATCAGCACCTTCAAAATCTGCACCCTAAAAATCTGCCAAAAATTCACCTCCCAAAAATTCACCCTAAAAATCAGCATCCCCAAAATCAGCACCCCCAAAATCAGTCCCCCTCAAAAATCTGCACACCAAAAAATCAGCACCCTAAAAATCTGCCAAAAATTCACCTCCCAAAAATTCACCCCAAAAATCAGACCCCAAAATCAGCTCCCCAAAAATCAGCACCCCAAAATCAGCCCCAAAAATCAACCCCCAAAAATCAGCACTCCCAAAAAATCTGCACCCCAAAAATCATCACCCCAAAATCAGCACTCCCAAAACCAGTACCCTAAAAATCAGCACCCCCAAAAATCTGCAGCCCAAAAATCAGCACCTCAAAAATCAGCACCCCAAAAATCAGCCCCCAAAAATCAGCACCCCCAAAATCAGCACCCCCAAAAAAATCTGCACCTTCAAAATCTGCACCCTAAAAATCTACCAAAAATTCACCTCCCAAAAATTCACCCCAAAAATCAGCCCCCCCCCAAAATCAGACCCCCAAAAAATCAGCACCCCCAAAAATCTACACCCCAAAAATCAACACCTCCAAAAACAGCACCCCAAAAATCAGCACCTTCAAAATCTGCACCTAAAAATCTGCCAAAAATTCACCCCAAAAATCAGCACCCCCCAAAAATCAGCCCCCCCAAAAATCAGCACCCACAAAAAATCAGCACCACAAAAATCAGCACCCTCAAAAATCAACCCCCCAAAAATCAACACCCTCAAAAA